ATCCGAGCAGTAAGATCTTTATCATGATTTTTGGAAACAGAGCTCAAATTATCTTTAGCTAAATGACGTTCCTTTCTTTACATTTAGGAGCCTGTGAAGATCTTTCGGTACCACTTTACAATAAGACTACCCTTATAAAGGATTCATAAAGGGTTTATAATTAGGTTATTAATTAGGTTGTAAACACTTTATTAATCAGTAAGAACCATTTATAAACCAGTTCTATACGTCAACACAGGCTCACTATTTGGCAAGATGACTAAGCCTTATATTGGCTACTTAGCGAGAATCAACTCAGTGGACAGCAGACACCAAGGATGCTAGCTGATGAAGAACACGAAGTAAGCTAGGTAGCCAATATAAGGCTTAGCAGTACAGATACATGTGGGCTCACTATTTGGCAAGCAACCGGTCACAGTCGCGCTGTTTATCTCATGTCTTATAAAAGTTTATTAATGACTTATAAAGTGTTCACGACCTAATTAATAAATTAATTACAAACTATTCGTCAACCCTTTGTACGGGTAGTCTTATTGTAAAGTGGTACCGATCTTTCTATTAGCTATCCCATCGATGGGTAAACCAGACGGATGTTTGACTTGTGTCCTAATGACAACTCTTTGGATAGGATTTCCATTCTGAGGTTTAGAGAGTCTCTCCAGGCTGTAATACCATGTTGGACTAAGTGGACGGCTCTAATGAGGCCAGATCTTTTAGGCTTTACGTCCCCTCGGGCTCTCTTCTCTCTGCCCTTCTCTGTCATTACAGAGATCGTTATAGCAGAGGAGAGACTTGCAAATAGCTGCCCATTTTAGTCTCAAGAACCCAGCTTAATGTCAGGTTGTGACCGCCGCTGTCACCACTGTGTACAACTTTGCAGCCATTTTACAGGCTCCATGACCGCACAGTGACATCTGGCTCAGTCGTGCTGTCTGTCGTCACCGTGGTTACTGCCAAAACTGCTGACACTCTTTTTTTTTTCTTGCCAGCGAGAAGATATTTCCATAAAAATAAATGGATAATTTGATCCTTTAATTAAAGTTCCAAGGTTTCATTAATAGCAATTACATAAGACTTAAATCGTTGTCTGGCGGAAAGTGGTGACTCAAAAAATAGAGATAGGAAAACATTTGTAAATTCTTTGTTATAATTATATCCCAAGAGCATACGTCCTGACTTAACCCTCTTAACATTTTCCATATAAGATTGTTGCTATTATTGACATTATTTCTCATAGTTCTTTTAACTATGATTCTCTAAGACTGATTGGTTACACAGTCCTTCATTGAGCATCATTTAAACTTTACTAATATTCAATAAATCAATCACATTTTATTTATATAGCCCAATATTACACATGTGCCACAATGTGTAAGGCATACCACACCCTCTGTGCTTAGACCCCTCAACTTTTGATGGGAAAAAAGAAGGAGTCATTGTGGGGGGAACCTTTGGAATTGTGAAATTGTCTCACAGCCCATATGTCCAAGAATTATGAAGCACGTCATGTCTGAGGCAGCTGATGTCCTGCTCCCTATTGAGTCATATTTTTATTAACTCCTTTTCAAGTTTTGGGTTTAAGCCAATCTATGACTTTATCTGTCCTTTGGCTTGCCTTATCGTGGATAACTCCCTCTCCATCTCCCTCTCCACTGTAGGACATTCCCAATCCGAGGTTTCCAGATCTACGATGGTCCGGTGCGACTTACCCACAGTACATTTCGTGGATACATCCCCACACCGGAGCGTTATACCAGCGCAGTGGGATTCAACCTGAAGAACACCTGGCAGCTCACCCCACGAAACAATCTGTCCCAGCTCAGCTTCCACCCCACTGTGAGCAAACGTCTATTGTTGACATCCAGGCACACTATACAGTTACTGATTTCATACTAGAATCACATAGAGTAGACAGATACAGTGTGATGCACAGTAACACTGAGTCAACACAGAGCTGTCCAACCTTTCACCTACATACTTCTTTACAATACTTTAGCCAAGTTATGTTTCAGTTGTGATCTCCCTTTAATGAGCTTGTAATAGCTCTTTACAGCCAGTGATTGGTGTAGGAGGTGTGTGGCGCAGTGGGTTGTGCGTTGGTGTTGGGATCAGGGGGGCACAGGTTCAAACCCCACTGCAGTCAGCATGTCGTTGTGTCCCTGAGACACTTCACCCCAAATTGCTCCTGTGGGGATTGTCCACAGTAACATGTAATGTAATGTCTNGACTTAAATGAAGCTCAGCACAAGTTCTTTCAGGAAGACTGGGTGTATATACATTCACTCCGCAGCTGCTTATAATCAGCTCATCACAACCTATTACATTTCACCTCATTCTCCAGCAGCCAATCAACGTGCTGCAGCCAAACTATAAAATGGTTCTCCTCTCTCCTGCAGTCAGCTGTGATTTCAGGTGTTCATGCACCTTATCATATGGCATGTGTCAATAAATGTTCAAACAAAATGAATTATCTCCTGATTGAAACATCATGTGTTGAAATAAACAACTGCAGTTCAAAATAAAAAGTGAATTGCCTAATATTTTTGTTGTGGAATCAATAAATTTTCTTTAAAGGCAAAAACATGAAAAAGCTAAGAAAAAAAACTATTGAATACAATATATTTGGAGCAACTTAATTTATAAATGGTTGTCAACTTAAAAACGTGTGTTCACAATGATGGTAATTAAGTACATACAACTTAAAATTCCTTTTAAATCATACGTTAAAACTAGTCGGAACAACTTAATCTTTGTAGTAATCAACTTCAAAACTTTTGTTTATGCCACCAATTATTAAGTAAGTGGTAATTAAAAACACCTCTGATTGTAGAGGAAAAGCCTTCTCCCCTAACTCAAATAACTTTGTTGCTTTAAGACAATTTCATTAGAAGTTGTCTTAACTCAATAAACATCGATGCAAACTGTTGCGTTGATTTTCTTTGTTGAGCTAAGGCATTTGTTTTTAGAGTGTAGGTAGCAGGTAATGAGGTTCCTGGAAATCGTATTTTTGGGGGAAATTGAGGTTCAGCTTAATAATGCAACATTTAGTTTAGTGTAGCCCTTTAGAAAACCCATTTGATAGGCGAGTAGTTGAAGTAGTTTGAATCGCTTGTCTGAAAATAAATGTTCTGTCTGTAGTGTTTCAGACTCCGACAGGTGCTTTATAAAACTGTATGAATTAGATGCTGCTGAAAGGGAGCATGAAACTTTTTGGGGATAAATAAAAAAGAACTACAGGTGTTCAGCTCCACTTTAAATACTCTTATGTAGCATTTTTAAGTGCTTTGCATCCTTTATTTCAAACAGAAGTTGGCAGAATCAACAAGTTGCATTCATTAACAAAAATATGTTGAGCCAGGAACATAGAGCCCGTCTCTATCCTGTCAAAGGTTTTGGGCTGAAAGCCTGGCCGATGCGTTTTAATGCCACTATTTGACTTTCCAAGTCAGATGGATATATCTTCGTATTATGTCTTGGGCAGTACTTTTCCAGTGTAGCCAATTGTATTCAATTCAAGAAACCAGGAAAGGTCATCATACTGGAAACATTTAAGTAATATCTTCACTATTAATGCTTAATCTGCATCAACTGTCATGGCTGAAGGTGAGAAAATGCACAAATGTATCTTGTTCGTTTTTATGACAGTGTCAGTCTATTGTTCTACCACTTCGCTGCAGACTGAAACTTCACAGCAACTATTGGAGGAAGTGCTTTAAAAAATTGATATTTGGACATTCAAGCCCAGAGAATAAATCCTACTGACACCATGTATTTGTTTACAAAGAATTAATTATAATACTGTTGTGATTCCTTTAATATCCCCTCTACTTAAAACATGTTTACTTTTTGCTCAAGTGAGAAAAAGGGCACTTCCCAAAATCATTTATTAAAAAAATGTTTAAAACGTTAAAATATTAAATGTTAAAAAGTTAAATATAGTTGCAGATCTCTGACTTACTGACCAATTTATTTTTAATACCCTCAGACTCACGCAATTGTTTAATACTCAACAGAATTCTACAAAATAATCAGCTAACACAGAGACAATAGTCTTCTTTAGTATTCACTAAGCACAAGAGCAGACAACAAACTAGTACAATTAATAGTTATTAAATGAGCAGCCAACAACCAAAATTATGAAGTTACTGTTTATGGAAGTTACAGACAAAAATATCGTTTTTTCATGTATTTGTACATGTTGTTATTTTGGTCTATTTCGCTTCCATGTTTTATTTCACTCTAATGCAGGGATGGGCAAATGGCGGCCCGGGGGCCCTCAGATTAAT